CCAGGTTGAGCTGTTGTTCAGCATCTTAGCTGTAGAGGGCAGTGTCACTGGCCCTCATATGTGGGATCCGAACTGGGGCCCTCTGTCATCCCAAGCAAGTTCTTAACCATCGCGCCACTCGGCCGGCCCTTGGTCAGTTTGGAATCTCCCCTAACCACCAGCTCAGGGCTCTCTCCGTGTTCTCAATATAGGCTTGTTTTTCAGTCTGGAGCTCTATTTGAAAGGATAGGACTCACAGACCAAGACAAAATTTGAATTCCAAATTATCAAAATCCCAAGGACAGTGGAATTTAGAAATAGCGCATCTCTGATGTTGCAACCACGCCTATGATACTTTCTCTTATTTTCACTTATTTATTTAACCCTTACTACAGACAGGTGCTGGAGATATAAGCCAGCGTTTCTGCCCTCACATGGCTAACAGGCAATTGATGGCAACCAAGTCAAGGCAGGTCCCTAACTGCACCTACTAGAAAGCACCAAGGCACCTGTGGCTGGTTCCTCACCCTCTCTCTGGGCCAAAGGCCAGACCGCAGCTGCCATGGCTCACCTCTGCCAAAAGGCCTGACTTCCTCGGGTGGAGCTTTATTGTAATCTGAGCCTCTTGGAGAAGCAGAGGTGAAAACCAGGACAAGGTGAGCTGTCCATTAGAATGAGGGAAACACCTAGCCTGGGTTGTCTTAGATGACTTTGCAAGCTCAGGAACTTTCAAATGAAGTGGATTCTAGGGAAGGATTCCTTTTAAGTACCTATGAAAAAGAAAGGCTTCTGTGAAGAGAAGAAAAAAAGATGCAGTTGTAACACAATGGAAAATAAAAGCGAACGCATGTATAGTGTTTATTATGCCAAGTGTGGCTCCAATCACTTCATATACACACATATATAAATTCACTTAATTCTCACACCCCTCTGAGCTAGCTGCAGAAGAGCAATAGAGGCTCTAAGAGGTAGAAGTTGAGAAATTAGTCAGCATAGCTCCATCACAGGGTAGTGTATGACCATGTCCATGCATGTTGTTAGGGACAGAAGGGACCTCGTGATTTCTGCAGGCAGGTCAAGAGAGCTGGGGAGAGCTGTCCTGGATGTCCAGGCCTTGGCACCCCAGCAATGTTCTTTTCAGAGTTTTTGTGGCTCTTTTCCAGGCCTGCCCTTACATCTACGTAGGACTAGCTCTGGAGACATATTAAGCTAAGCTCTTTTCGCGAAAAAAAACAAAACTTCTTCCTGGTCTCTCTTTCCAGGCCTGTTGAAAGGAAAGAACCTCCTATCCACAGATGGTTAAGAGAAAGCTGGGTTCACAATAGAAATAGAGAAAGATATGTCTTGTAATTTTTCTGAAGGGAAATCAAACCTATGATCCTAACTGATTGGAAAAAAAAATGTAGCATATGGTATAAGGGATGGAATTTAAGGGTGACACATTGAAAATTTTGCAACAACTCTCAGAACTTGTCCATCCTTATAAATTTGTCCAGGTGATGGCTAATTATCTCATTTGACTCTGACACTGAACCTGCCAAGTATGGGAAACAGGCATATTTTCTCCTCTTTCCAAGCTCTGATTCTGGAGTTGGGACTCTTAACTGCTAAACACTTTGCTTATAAATTGTCCCCTTTCTGCCTTCTCTCATGGGTTTCCCCATCAGCCTGCTGAGAGGTTAGTATACCCCCACCAAGCTGTTTGAAAGCCCCAGACAACTCCAATCATTCTTGGGGGATCCCTCCAAGACTTCCAGGTGTTGTGGGAGCCTTTCAGGCAAGGGGTCCCTGGAAACTGCAGGAATCCTAAAAGAGACTCTTTGGTTCCTAAAAGTTGCTCTCTATCAGCCCTCTGTGGTTAGGCAGTCAGGTTGACCCCTGAAAGCCCCATGTTGTTTTGATTTTGCTTTGGGGAGAGGATGCAGCCTTTTTGTTTGTTGAACTTTTTCTCCTAAATGGATAAATCAATATTTACGTCCACTGTTCCCATAGGCAGCCTGAGGTGACCTCAGACAATGGTTCGCTGTTCACTTGACCCAGAAAACCCCACAAAGTCATGCAAATCAAGAGGTTCAAATCTTCATGTTCACTTTAAAAACACTCATGACACTGCCCAGGCCATATCAAAGGTATGCAGATCCGAAAACGCCACCAAGTATGTGAGGAATGTCACTTTGCAGAAGCAATGTGTGCCATTCAGTCGTTACAATGGTGAAGTTGGTAGGTATGCCCAGGCTAAACAGTGGGGCTGGATGAAGAAGGGTCAGTAGCCCAAAGAGTGATGAATTTTTGCTGCACACACTTGAAAACGCAGAGAGTAATGCTGAACTTAAGGGTTTAGATGTAGACTTTCTGGTCATTGAGGTGAACAAAGCTCCCAAGATACTGTGCAGAACTAAGAGTTCATGGGCGAATTAACCCATAATGAGCTCCCCTGCCACATTGAGCTGATCCTAACTGGAAAAGAGTTGATTGTTCCTAAACCAGAAGAGAAACTTGCACAGAAGAGATGCCCCAGGAGAAATAGAAGGAACAAAAACTTATGGCTCGGAAATAAATTCAGCATCAAATAAATGCTAACCAAAGTAAAAAAAAAAAAAAAATTAATGACCAGACTCCAGGTTATGGGTCAATTGATTTTAGAGGCGTTTTTGCTCATAATTCATATAAGTGCTGGATCCCACAAAACAAAGTCAGTTTTTGGCTGTACTCTGTGAGGATTTTATTTAAATACCTCATTGATTACTGTTTGTATTGTAACGGAAAATCTAAAAACTATATAGGCCTGAACTCAGTTGAAATTTATATACAAATCCTAGAAAGGAAAAGGCAAGTAGAGAAAGGAGGGGGGAAAGTTTCCAACATTTCTAGTTTTTCCTTTTGAGGCAGAGGGGAGATTGTAATTAGCCAATTAGAAGTTTTGGAAGGACAGACGGTTTAATCTTTGGGCACCAAAGAGAAAGGTAGCGATTAGAAGTTAAGGGATACTTAAGGAAGATCTTTCAGGAGGCGCATTTCCAGCTTGGGGAGGCTCTGTTCTTCACGGGCTACCCAAATTCGACAAAGCAAGGAGCCCGCCCTGGAGCGGTTTTGGATAAGCACTGGAATCCCAGTCAGGGCTTCACGGGTTAAGGGGCCTATGTCACATCAGCCATTCGAAACTCCTCCTCTCACAACTCCTCCTCTCACAGCGAGGTGAAGATATTTGAAAATCACCCCACTGCAAACTCCTCCCCCATACGAGAAACCTCGCTTTGAAATGCTGCAAATGACTGGAGCTCCGCGTGCAGTCGCCGCTGGGCTGCGCGAAGCCCGGGTTTCCAGGGGGCACCCTGCGGACCGCGAACGGCGAACAGCGGCCTGGGCCGGGGCATTGCTGGCGGGGGCTGGGAGCATGAGGCTGTGCTGGTCCGTTGCCCTGCTCCTCGCCGCGGCGGGGGCTGCAGGTAAGGCTAGCTCCAGGCGTCCGCGCGGGACAGAGCTGAACTCCGAGAGCCCCGTGGTAATTGTTTTTAAGGGGAAAACGAAAAATCACTCCATCGTTGAGAGACGATGGGGAAATGGCACAAAGTCCTTTCCAAACAGCTGAAGGGAGAGCTAAGGGGCGCGAGGGTTTGGGGAGTCTGGGAGAGTCAGGCGAAACGGGGTGCGGATTTCCCCACAAGTCTCCGTCGAAGGGGGATCCCCTTGTCTCCTTCAGAGCAAGGCACGAGGCCCTCCAGCCCTGGGGATGAGGAGCCTTTCCCCGAGTTATTTTTGGGGCGAGGGGGACGCGAAGCCCCGCTGTTCAGCCTGGAGGTCCCTGCAGGTGCTCCTCCGAGCCCGGCCGCGAGCAGAAGTTACCGAGGCGGCCTGGTTGGCTGGCTTTGTGCTGCCCGAGGGCGCCACTGGCTCTCAGAACAGAGCAGAACGCGTCCGCGCCAGCCGCTGCACGCGCGCGTCTGCCCAAGGCCAACGCCTCCCACCGCGCCCCCCTCCCCGCCAGCTCTCCCCGAACTCCCATTGGGCGCGACTGAAACAGGCGAGCCTCGAGCCTCTCCCCTTGACCAATAGGACGCGGCTACTGCGGAGGCGCGCTGCATGGGGCGGGGCTAGCGCAGGACGAGAGCAGCACCTCGGTCTGGGTGAGGCGGGCCAAGGAGATTCCTCGCGTCGGACCTCAGCTCGTGTCACAAAGGAGGCAACACGCCCCAGGCCCCTGGGTCCGCCTCCGCGAGCACGGAGGAGACGGCCGCGGGGCGCCTGGTTCTCTTTGCGTTTGCGGTTTCCTCCGAGATCTGTAGGGAGGCCTTCATCCCCACTTTGTCTTCGGGGCCTCTCTCGCTCCGCCTGCCCGGGACTAGTCACAGACGTGCCTTGGTTCCTTCTGAGACTGAAACGCCGGTCCCTCCTCGATTGGACGGGGAACGGCAGGCAATTCGGGGAGCGGCAGGGACCGGGAGCCAGCGACATCCGACGGACCCTCAGGGTTGCTTTATTTGCCCTCTAAAGGCTCTAAATGGGTTCAGCTGAGCTGCTCACATGGCAGTTTTTCATTTTAGGGGGCTTCGAGTTTGGATTTGGGCAAGAGGCTAGTTGGTGCATGACCCTGAGAGGTTTTTTAAAAATGAGCTTCCAGAGGCATTTGGCTTTGCCCTAGGCAACAGATAAACATGGGCCTTTTCCTACGTTGAACCAGCTCAGCTCATAAAAGGATTGGGGTTGCCTGGTTAACAGGATTGCAGGAAGTTGATTTTATAGGAGAGGGGGTTGGCTTTGAGGAGAGAGTTTTGTACTCTTGGAATCCCTACCTGGGTTTCTCCTAGGAGGGGAGAAATGGAGGGAAGTTGCCCTCACATAGCAGAGGACTGGTGTAATAATTTGGCCACCAGTTGTGTGACGTGGAGGGAGCTTGTGTTGGGTTCACGGCTCCTTAACAAAACTTAGACAAAAGGTTTTCGTTCCAGAGACTTTATTGACCAGGCCTGGGACTGTATCTCTCAAGAGAAGAGATCAGCCCCTAAGTCTTGGTGGGTAAGGAATTTATAGCTGAGGCTGGATACAGAAGCAAAAAAAAAAAAAAGCGGTTAGTGTGTAAAAAGGAAAAATGGCTAGTTTATCTTATTTTAACAAACTATAAAACATAGTTAGGTTATTATTTTTAACGAGCTAATCCATAACTTGCTTATCTTCTTGACGGGCTATAAAACATGACTTGTTTATCTTTTCCTAACAAGCCATATACTTTGTTTATCTTCTTCTACTTTCTTGACAAGACAATTTGTTATGGTTTTTACTGAAGCAGGAGCTTTTTAAAATTCCTCTGGGCGGGGGTACTCTCCGAAATGAGCTTGCTTAGCCTAGGGTCTGGGCCTGGGTCCCTACACTTGGCTTGGTCAAGAGACACTTGATTAACCTGTAAGTCATATGCTGATTGACTCCTTCCCTAGGAGGAAATAATGGCAATGAAATCTTGAGCAAGATGTGTTGCTTACTTTTTAGTTTTTTCTCTCACCGGGTGGCTGGGGATCTGATATATCTCCTGTTCTCAAGGAAGCTCTGAGCTCTGATGTGTTTCCCAGACTCCTGAGAGCTGGCAGCTACTTCCCTCCTCTGGTGCGAATGTACATTTGTAGCAACCCTGGCTGCCCCAACTTGCTCCTTAGCTGTTTCCAAAGCATATCCAGGGGCAGGAGGGGGATTGTCCATTTCCTTTGTGAATGGAAGTATTGCAGTTGGAATCTGAACTGCAGGCCTTTATCACTCAGCCAGATCAAAATCTGTTAACCGTTGACCGACTGGAGCAAAAGTGTAATAATGGCCACCATAAGGAAAAGTTATCTTAAGACTGACAAACCAAGCAGGCAACTCCATAACAGAATTTATTATAGGCTAATTTACTTAAAGGAAGATTGGGTAGGAGTGGAAAAGAAGACCCAGCAGTTTTGAAGAAATTATTCTCCGCTGGAGACTCCTGTTCCTGCACCTTTTTTTATTTTTTTTAAATAGTATAACTCAGGTACTAATGACTGAGAAGACAAAGGGACAACACAGTAGTGCTAAGGTACATGCCTCCTGGTGGTCCATACTATCCCAGTTTGATATTCATCTCGGTTGTCATCCTGGTCATTATTAACAAAAGTATTTATGGTTAGATTTTAAGGAACACGGATACCCATTAACCAGAAGGCTTTGATATGCTTACTAAGGACAGTGAGGTTGTTTAAATGTCACAGCATGAAAGGACACCAAGGGCTGGCTGAGTGGCTCAGTTGGTTAAGAGCCTGCTCAAGAGTGTGAGCTCTGAGCAACAGGGTCGCCAGTTCAATTCCCACATGGGCCTGAGCTTAGTTGCCTCTGAGCTGCCAACATGTGGCAGGATGGCTCAGCTAAAAAAAATAAAAAATAAAAATAAAAAAAAAAAAAAAGAAAGGACACCAAGATGGAAATGGTTTTTGTTCACATCTATATGAATACAACAGTTGTGAGTGGAGTATCAAATATGCCAAGGGCACACCCAAACTCGGAGAAAGTTGTGTCCTCCTAAGAGTTGTATCTGCTTTAGCAGCTCTTTCTGGGGCAAACTGGTAAAAGATAGGGAGAGCTTTTTTGACACTGAAAATCTTTAAGGGTAATGAAAGTGCCTCATTCTTTCTCTCCAGGCTAGTTCAGGGGTTCCTCCCCTGATAAGAACCAATTCTAGAGCCTTTGTTGCTCGGTGCTTTGATGGTCCCTTCACATTCTGCGTTAAGTATGTCCACACTTTGCCCAGCTGTCAAGCAAGTGACCATTTGTTGCTAAGACACTGAAAGTAACTAGCAGTGGACAGTGAAGTGACAGAGACAGGCTACTGCTCCCCAAAGTTACTGGCAGCAAAATCAACCATAGAGATTGCTCCTGGGGGAAAATACCTTGACATCTGAGTTTGGAAAAGAACCCTGGTAAATTGATTTCCCATTTATTTTCAGCTGAGTCTGTTAGTTCCAGCCATTTTTTCCAGGAAATGATTCTATCTATAATTTTGATTTCCCTTACCACAACTATCTTCAGTAGCACGGGACAGCAAACATTGAAAGCATTTACTACCTCATTTGTGCGCTGGAGAAAAAGCAGAAATGTGTATTCTCCTTTTTTGTTTCGATAACTTTGTTCCTGATTGGCCACTCCTAACAGGAGAGAGGCTAGAGTTTAGAGACTTTTTCTTTTGAGTGTTTACGTAATTTTAGGCATCCTCAGCATGAGGAGATGTGGAGGTGTGTGCTCTGTTTTACTTTCGCTGAAATTTAAATGAAACAGTAAAATCTACCCACTTTCCAAACATTGTCTGGAGCTGATGGCCAGCTGTTGGATGACCTGGTCTGATAGAAATAGGTAGTGGTGGGGGTCTTCCTGTTGGTGAGGTCTTCAGCCATCTGTGGTTAGTAAATATTTGGAGAACTGTTGCCAGGTGAAGCGAAAGGACCTATTGTTTTTAATCTATCCCTCTTTAAAGGGCCTTAAGATGTTATCATTGTTTCAGTGGCAGATTTTGTTTGTAAGATAGTTGACCCTTGTACAAACGTTGGGATTGTGCAAATGTTGGGAGGCAAGAGCATTAATGGTGGATGAAAAAGGGGTTTTACAGAAAGTATCCTCACAGGATGATCTGATCATAAATCCCTAGCTGGGCAGGTCATGGTGGGTAGTCACACCTCAGCCATGTAACTTCTTTAGTGAAAGGTTTATCTTGGCCTTAAGCAAGCCCTGTCCATTGTTTCTGTGCATCTAGGTTAACATACTTTTGCAATAAGGGTAACCACCCACGGGAGAGCACATAAACCTGTTAACTAGACTGTAATTCAACTCCCACCTCGTTTTTTCCCACCTCCATGTAATCTTCCTTACATTCCCTCCTTAATCTCAAATATATAAAAGAATCTACAAAGCTATCAATTCTGCACAGCATTTGAGATCTTGCTTCCGGGCAATTGTCGTCAGTTTCGTTCAAATAAACTTATAAAAATTCTCTACAGGTTTGGATATTTTTTTTTTATTTTTTTTTAAGGATCACTCTGGCAGCAGTGTAAAGAACCATTTTGTTTTGTTTTGTTTTGTTTTTTTAGCTTAGCCATCCTGCCACCTGTTGGCAGCTCAGCCGCAGCTCAGCTCGAGCCATGAATCGAACTGGCAGCCCTGTTGCTCAGAGCTCGCACTCTTGAGCGAGCTCTTAACCAACTGAGCCACACGGCTGACCTCCAGGTTTGGATATTCTTAAGTCTACAGTGGTAACCAAAGCTTTGATCAGCTGTGTTGGGGGCGGGGCATGGGGGGGTGACAACAAGATCCTCATAGCCAGTGCCCCTTGCTTGAACTTCCTTTTTAGTTTTTTTTCTGACAATCTTCAAATTCCAATTGCCTTTTACCCCATCCTGTGTGCCAACATCAGGGAGAAGTGAGTCATTTCCTCTTTTAGGGACGATCACGATTC